AGGACACTGCAGCCGACACATCCGGAGCGGGCGGAGAAACGCACGTGAAGATGGTCAAAGTACCTGTGATGAGAACGGGTGTGAGTGCATCAGCTCGTCAAATATGGACGAATGTTCCCGCCTCACAGTTTGAACAGATCGTGGATCTCCTGCGGGCCAAACAAGCCACACTTGAGTATCGGGGGCGTGCGCTGAGGGTCGAGTCCCCGCGCGGGGTTCGCTGCGAGACGGGGTGCGATCAGACGAGGAGTGCAGAGACACGCGAGGGAGCCGACTTGCCTAGCGTCGATCGTGCGGCATGGTGGGTGGCAGGAATGGTGCGCGGTGCACTGGCGACATGCACCACATCGGGCTGCACGTTCACAAAGCGGGGATCGTATGCCTGTGCCGAAGGGGGCTGGTCCCAGACGCCGGGGCGGTTCCCTGAATAGACGGATGGAATGAATGGAGGGGGGATCAGCGCGAGGGTCGGGGCGCAGCACGGGCGCGCCTGTACCGGGAAGCGCAGCACGTACCACTGGAAGTCTGCGCCATCTGCCGCTTAAGTGCTACCGCCTCGGCCTGAGCCTGTGAGATCCAGTAGCGAGTGCGGGAGTGGGCTCTTATCTCGTCGAGCTGACGTAAAAGTGACTGGATCTGGAGGTCCTGCGAGTAAGAGCGCTCCTGGAGGTCCTCGTGTGTGCTGCGTGGGGAGTTAGAGCGTGGTAGGGCAAGGACGGGGGAGGGAGGAGGGAGCAGCGTACGGAGCAGCCTTGCGTTTCTTGCGGCCCTGGGAGACGCAATCGTGCCCGCCGCTCTTGCAGCGGACGCAGATGTTTTCCTCGGGGATGAACTCGCAGCGAATCTGATTAGGGGGAGTGGGCGCGATGAGACGGAGAGAGCGGATGGAGAAGGAGAACGGACGTGCCTTTAGGAACTTGCAGTGTGTGCATGCGCCCGGACTGGAGGAGATGAGCAAGGTGGGTTGGGGAGGGAGGGGGCGGAGGGATGAGCACTCACGGTCTCCGAGTGGACTTTGAGCTGGAGGCGGAGAAGGGGGTGCGGCTGGAGCTTGCGTCGCCGGACTCGCTGTCGCCGCTATGGGAAGACATGGATGAGGAGGAGGAGGAGGAGGAGGAGGAGGAGGAGGAGGAG